GCTTTTAAATAAGCTGTTTCCTGTGCAGATCATTCTAAAATACAAATGTAATGTGTTTCTTTGTTATATGCAAAAGAATTAGGGAGACCTTTCTTGGGGTGGGTTGTGTGGTAAGTAGTGGTGTTGTAAAGCCTGCTTTAAACAGGCAGAGATGGACATGAATTGTATTCGTAGACGTTGACTTGGCTGTGTATTTAAATATTTTAGTGGGAAATCTTTCACTTTAACTGGTTACTCTGGTACAGATCACCGCATGAATTGCACCTCCAGGGAGATGAAAATTCGCTCAGGTGCTTCAGAGTGACAGCTCTGCGGCGTTTGCAGCAGTGCATGCAAGTGTGGCTTTGACTTGGAGAAGCCAAACAGAATAAAACACGGGCAGAGGTCTGTGGTTGGACTCGGTCATCACTGCCACCCTACAAGCCCTTCTGGGACTTCCAGATTTGAGGAATCGTAACTTGCGGAATAATCTCATGCGTGTATTGTGTCAGAAAGCACTGCTTTGATTGTTGCTTACAGTTCATGTTTTTTAAATAACGTAGTATAATAATGGAGAAACTAAGTTTTGATTCCTATCCTTAAAGAGTAGAATTAAAGGCTAGAGCTGTAGAAGGAGATTTCTTGCAGATGTAGCCCCATGCTGCAAGGTTTTGTCTACTAAGGGTTTCTGTCTGTTGCTATAGAATCATAGAATCGTTTAGGTTGGAAAAGACCTTTAAGATCATCAAGTCCAACTGTTAATAATAATATCATGAGCGAGCTTCTTATGGTGGAAGTAGTATTACCGAGCGTGATGTCTCTTTCTTTTTCTTTTTCTTTTTCCTGACAGCACAACAAAGAGCTGGGTGAACCGTGCATTTCACCATGACCTTTACAGAACTGCTGATCTTACACTGTTTAATGGCCAGGTTTTATTCTTGTATGAGCTTATATCTTTTATTGGCCTTTTAATACGGGCTTAGCAGGTTCTGGAGAAGTAACTCTGCTTTTTCTTTTTTTTTTTTTTTTTTTTTTTCCTTTGGAAATACTTCAGAAAGTGTTCTGCAGCATAGAGATATACTGTTCAGGTTTTTTTGGTTTAGTTTCTTCTTTGTCTTGTGTCAATTTGTTTAGATCTATTTAGCAATGCTCCTCTAATTTTTCTAATGTGACTTTTTTTCCTCGTGCTCATCTCTGTGTACTGCAGTTAGTGGTGCAAATGTTACAACTTAGTTTGGAGTCATCATGCACCTTTCCAACACAGAGGTCATAGCGCTTTTTTTTTTTTCTTAGGAAACGTCTATCGTGTAGTTCTGTAGACTGTAAGATTTGAAAATTTTTGAAATATGCAATAAAAGGAATTTTCAGTGTTTACTAATAGTTAACTTAAAATTATTTGTTATCAACTCATAAGTGAGATTTATTAAATGCATATTTTTCTTCATTTTTTCCTCTTCTATAGTTTTTTACAATTTTTACAGTTTGTTAATGTAACTGTGTGGTTTTGTAGAATAACTATTATGGGAGAAAATGGGGAGCTATTTAGAATAAAATATGTAAAGAGTTTTCCTTTCATATTGACTGACAATAATGTCATGAAATCTCTTAGAAATCATAATGGCTTTTTCCTTCTGTGAAGAAAGGTGCTTATGGTTTCAAGAGTAGTGCTTCTTTCCAAAACCAGAAATGTCCTTTAAGAGTTGGGGGGAAATCTCAAAATACCAACAGCTTTTTATTTTCTGAGTGTGTACACTGTGGCTTTTTGAAGTGATCTTATTCTAAACTTAGAGTAAAGTAAACATTTTATTATTATATTTCCTTCATGTGATGCTCTAAAATTCTGAGTAAATTAGTGTTCAGTTGCATTTAAATTTCAATTTAAGTACATCTGTCCATTTATTTGAAAGTGATGTCTGTCTGAAGCCTCAGTTTTGTTTCCATGTTGTTGGGTGTGATGACAACGGTGATTTGAATCATGTTTCTTGTAAAGCTGAAAGAACTGCACTTTTTTGTGGTCGTAACAGTATAATACATTGTGTGGATATTATTAATACTTTATGCTAATAGACATAATGAAAGTAAAAATTAAGTATATGCAGTGTGAATATTGTGTTGATGTTCCCTTCTTGACAGGCTGTTCAGTAGAAGCACATTTCATGATAATTTTATTTATTTTTAATAATTGAAGCAAAAAGTTTAAAAATTGTGCAATTCATTCTGAATTACTTCGTTTAAGCCTGGGTAAGGTGTGTTGCCCCTTTCCTCTCCAAAGTGTTGTATCATCAGATCTGTTCTTTAAAGGGATGAGCTGAGAAGAAGGTGTCTTCTTTGGGTGCTTGTCTCTTGAGAGAAGTAGACTTTTGTTTAGGTGGCAGTTTGTTGTTACTTAGTTGCAATAAGATTAGTCAAAAATATGTATATCTGACCTTTCTGAAACAGTTACCTTGTGTGTAGAAATTTAGCAAAAAATGTATTACAAGCCCCTTTGAATTATGTGGATATGCTTGTCTTCTAGATAGCATCCAGTGCTGACTTAGAGAGGAGCATCAGAAAACCAGAGCTGAATAATCCTGTAAACTAAATGAGATCTTTCAAGTAGAAAAATACTCGTGTAACTAGTCCTCTTAGTAGGTGCGGGTTAAACATGTACCCGAATTTATAAAATAGTATTTGTGTATGTTGAGTCTTATTTGGAAGGTCTTGCTCTTTTGGAAGCACATAAAAGCAGTAAGTTTTAGTTGGCAAAATACAGAATAAATGTGGTCTCGTCTTCTGATGTTATCTCCTGTTTTCTCTTATTGCCATCTCCTGGTGGAACTGATGTGTGCCAGAAATAGGGAATGTATGATGCTCAAGTTTAGGAGTTACAGGAAAGCGTGGGGATAAAGATGTATTTTATGTACAAGGTCACACAGTGTGCGGCTTTCTTCAAGAGGTAATGAAGCTGTGACACTTCGTTAACAACATTTCAGTCTAGAGTTTAGAGAAAAGGAGACGCATTGCCTTGGGAAGGCAAACTCTCGGAATTCAGTGAGATGGGCGAGAAGGCTTGCAGGGCCCTCAGTGAAATGGGGGAGGAAGAGCTTGTATGTTATGCTCAGCTTAGAAGGCAAATCGAGCAATTCCTTCAGTCGCTTAATGCAGTTTGAAGGATGTAGTGCTTTTGGTCAAGGTCACCTTGTGCATGGAGTGATAATATTCTTGCGATGAAAAGGAAGCAAACCTTTTTTGCGAGGCTCCTTCTACTTAAGTATGAGGCAGAGCAACAGGCGAGGGAAGCTTAGGCTACCTGTTTTGTTAGGATACATCAAAGAGTATGCAAGGCATCTGTTCACCTCCTGAAGATAACCATTACAAGGGCTTCAGTTTTGGGTTGTAGTTTTCTTGTCTTTTTTTTCACTGTTGCAACTCCATTGCTGTCTATTTAGTGGAAACAAGCCATCACAGGTTTTTATCGTGTTGTCTAACTGGCTTGGAGCAAACTGAGCCAAACGTGGTAACAGCGTCCTTGTTCAGCTACAGCTGTACTACAGCTCTGCGCAATGCCGCAGTCCACGTAGCTTTGCCATTGCTAGCACGGTGAGAGAAATTTGACCGCGTAGATAAGCTCCAGGGTAGTTGATCCCTTTACCTCTGAGTATCGCTAAACAAATGGAAGTCTACTTAGAATTTAAATAGCAAATACGTAGTAGAGGCGGCGATTGTGGCTGCGGGTTTTTCCCACCCTGATGCCTATCTTCCCTGCAAAGTTCTGCTGATCAGATCACTTCTGTTGAAATAACTTTCTCCTACAATACAAACTGTCTTCATTACATAATTTATTTCCAGCATTTCTCTTGGTTCATTAGCTAACATCAGTAACCTAAGGATTTGTTCAAAGGGAAAAAATATAAATAAAAATCTGCTTTTGATAGAAGTAGCATCAGTAGTTTGTTTAAGAGGGGGAGAAATGTTATCAGGTACAGTATAGCATTCGTATGTATGGCATATAAATGCAAGGAATCTTGATGTTCATAACTAAACAAGAACGAGTTGTGTCTTTGGTTGGTTGGGTTTGGGGTTTTTTGGGGGGTGGGTTGTTTGTTTGCTTTTAAATTAACCCCCTGAACTTGTACCTGATACCTAGTAACATCAAGGAAAATGCTACAGGGGCTTTTCCCTCAAGACCTGGAGTTCATATATAGAGTATTTAAAAGGTGCTATTTTCTTATTGAATGTTTTGCTGTGCCTAAATGATGCATGTTGTAATGAAAACTCAATCTAATGGTTACTTTGCATTGGTCACTCAGGTGGATTTGCCTAGTATTTTAGGGTGATACTTTTCTTATGGTCAGATTATCATCAGTTTTCCCCATACCTGTTGAGGCAGGTCGTGTTATTGAGCATGTTTTCATTCTCACCATATTTGCAGTCAAGAATTACTGTAACGGTGGTTCA